TGTATGTATGTATGTATGTATGTATGTATGTATGTATGTATGTATGTATGTATGGATGGATGGATGTATTTGTTCTGATGTTTCATATGATATACCGCAAAGATCAGGAAACTGAAATATTGAGAATGAATTTCTCGACTGTGTACAAAAGCGCTAGACTGGGGTCAATTTTCAAGCATCTTGGTCTCTTACCTGTAGCAGATGTAGAATGAAACCATGAGATTTGTGAAAATGAAATTTTACAGCTTCAATTCACCATACAATACTTAATGTGCGGTTAAGATTTAGCTCTGACGCCGCAATTGGCCTAACCAGGGGGAGCAAGAGGGAGGCGGGGGCCAGGGGTTGTTTACAATGTTAAAAGTGAAGAAAATTGTCATTGGCATCGCTGGTCGCCCTCCCCTCCTTCCCCCTCCCTCTTTCCCCCATTTCCCTCATGTCCCTTCTTTTCTTTTTATGAGTTCTCACGCTGAAGTTTTGGAACTTGAAATTCGAAGTTTCGCAGCTGAAAGGTGTGTCGAAGTGCGCCATGCAGTGCTGAATGTCCAGCACAAACTCAATGGTATTGAAGTGGATGATGTAGTAAAAACTAGTACTGCTGACATGCAGTAGATCATGGATCCCACTGTGCGAATGGGACAGTCAGTTCCTCTAGGATTCGTTCATTCGTTTTGATTGTAAATTGGTACTGTCGCTTGCGAGACGGCTAAAGTCGACGCTAGTTTGTATGAAGCAGTTTCTCTTCAGAAGAAGGTGCTGTTGAAGAATTTGCCAGCCATTTGCTGCGGTTAGCACCTGCCCTCACTAGGTTTCCTCGCCCACAGCAAGTGGAATCTACTGAAAGATCTTTGAGCTCTTCCTGTAGCCTGGAGTGCTACACATATGCATTTTTATCTTACAGATTCGAGACAATCTTTTCGATCGTCGTCCACGGAACGCTTCCTGTCTCCGCCGTCGATGCCTGGATTAGTTCCTCGTGTCAGTGGATCTTTAAGGAGTGGTTTGTCTCTTCAGTCATACATTGAAAGAGTCGCTCAACCAACGCCAGTACCCTGTATTGCCGGATTAATGGAAAAACTTGACCGGGTATGCTTTCTTTTGTTTTCTAGTTTTATTTTTACATGGCTGAAAATACGCTGAATGTTTGAGTTTTTTTTCCTTCTTTTGCAGAGACTGTCAAAAATTATAAAACTTTAGCCTACAAAGTTTTTTAGTCTAAATAACGCCACAATGAGCAGCGTCAGACCGCTCATCGAAGCCTGTGGACTACGTACATCTCATCCTACCGTACCTGCAGAATACCGCTTTGAATCGTACTGTGTAATGTAGCACAATATCACCGCCTGGATAAGACCGGTGTCCAGCGCGGGGGAGAGGGGGAAGGGCGGAAACAGTGAGTGGATGGGGTGGGGTAAGGGCAGGGAAATATGAAATATCTCAAAGTTTGATGCAAAAACGCATGATCGCACCGGCTCGCCTGGTGCGTTCCAGCCTGGGTTTTGTTTTGGTGCAGCGGAAGAGGGAGGACTTAATGAAAAGTTGACCGAGCTGATTGCTCTGGGACTTTAACTTGTATTTGGCTTGAGAAGATGATACAAGCTGTGTTACACTTTAGAAAAACGCCAAATATTTCCAAAACAAAGTTTTTTTTCTCTCGGAATTTGATGGAATTCTATATATATAGAATGTTTTGAAGTTTTTTTTTTCACAGCTTGATGCGTTGTGTTTCAGGCGGAAGCACGTGACTTGATTTTGTGCACACTTCATTTGTTGCACTTCTTGCCACGTAAGATTCTCACAGCGATAATATCGCATTTTGAATCGAATGGCTTAGTGCTTAATTTTATTTCGCTGCTTCGTGTTGCCCTGGATTTCTTCAAATATCATGGAAAGTCATACACAATGCAAGCAACATCGAATAAGTAAGTCTGATCGAATCCAACAAGTTAAATTCCCTTCTTTTCATAAGTTATCGCAGTGGTTATTTCAAATTCACTTTTCGGTTTATGTGAACAGAACTCCTGGTCAGTCAGGCAGGGTTTCAGTTTATATAAACCAAAAAAAAGTAAATTTAAAATAGTCACTCATCGTTGTCTGAAAGTGGCTGCCTTCAAATCGAGACTATAATTCAGAACACTTAACTAGGACATTTCAAAATAGCTAAAGGGATGAAGCACACACAGGACAACAGCTAATGCACATACAGGCTCGCTTATCTGGCTGTCTGAATTAGCACTCACTGCTTTCCCACAGTTGACAACATTCGGCTGTGTCCCTTTCATCGGCTGACCTACAGTGCCAAACAAACTTTCATAGTTTACATTTTTCAAAAAATTTCCAAAACACTTTGCTAATATTTCTGCCGCTGCGCTGGTTTTTCCTTCAAAAAACGGAAAGAATGCCAGATTTGGCAGCAGGTTGTGTGCAAAAAGTGAAGCATTGGTTAAAACAACTGGAAAAGTTGTTGGCTGCATAACTGAAGAACAAGGCTGATTCAAATATCCAGACAAATAAAGTTAATGTAACAGGAGATTCTTAGTCAGACTGACCATTGGGTGATGCATTTCCGGTCAAAGCAGTTGTGGATAATTTAAGAGCCACGGTGATGACGGGAAAATTTGCCGCAAAAACAATGGCGGAACAGAGTCAGATGGGAAATTCAGGCAATTGTCAGCTGAAAGCTTTCATTTTATCATGAACTTTTTTGCAGAGTACGCGGCACACGTAGAACCCTCGTGATTTTACCGCATTCAAATTCATGCGCCGGAGCACTGAGTGTTAATTCAGCAACGGCAAGCAGCCATGCATCTACGTCAAGTGGCTTTGGTTCTTTTGGAGCAGGTGCTTATCTTTTTTAACTTACTCGATTATTGCATTTTCTACTAATAATAGGAATGATAATAACAATAATAATAACAGCAGCAACAACAATGACAGTTGTAATAACAACAGTAATAATAACGATAATAATAACAGTAATCAAAATAACAGCAACAATAACAATAGTGGTAACAACAATAATAGTAACAATTTAATAATAATAACATATGACAACATAGTAATAACAGTCTAATAATAACAATATAGTAGTGGTAGCAGAAATAATAATAATAGTAACAATGATAATAACAACAATAATAATATCGAAAGTAATGATAACAATAATAGCAACAATAATAATAACAACAATAATAACAACAATAATAATAACAACAATAATAGTAACAATAACAATAGCAACAATAATAACAATAATGAGCATAATAAAAAGTAACAATACGTATAATGTTACTATTTGTTTTGGTTTCTGCTACCCACCTAAAATTCCATCAGTGGTGTTTTTTTCTGTCGCTAATGCAAATCAGTTGTTTAATATAAATCCTTTTACAAGTTTTTTTAGCTACAGACCCTGTTGATGTAATTTTTTCACAGTGTTGCATAGCCGCAGTTTTTATCAAATTTTATAAATTGCTTGTTGTGTTAGCAATGATAAAAAATATCAATGCTGCAGAACCAGGATCGATGAGGCAATACAGTGAAGGTGATATGGAAGATGCAGGAGCGCCATTCAGTGTGCTTCAAGAATCAAATTTGACCCAGGAAACTGCTCTTATCGTACTGGAAACTAGTCAAGTTTTAGCGCAGCACGCTTCAGTAAGTTTTTTTTTTACGTTTTTTGCATCTATGCAATGCAAAAGCGCATATTGTCGAGAGATTGTCTGTATGTGTGTGTGTGTGTGTGTGTGTGTGTGTGTGTCTGTCTGTCTGTGTCTGTGTATTCGTCTGTACTGATTTTTCATCTCGAGATTTACAAAAGCTACAGGGCTGAAACTTTGGGGACTTAATCTCCATGCACGTACGGGCTCCCATCCCCAAAATGGGCGCTCCTGCCCAAATACGGGCTGTTGGAAATTTTTGGTTGGTAATTCACTAATTCGGAAACTAGAAAAGCTAGAAAGCTAAAATTTTAAGACCATGTTTTTCGACACTGTTGTTGGTCAGTCTCGATTATCTTAGCTAGAAACATTTACCAGGAAAACCAGTGCTGTTAGCGATTAAAACCTGCAGGGAACTATGTGCTGGCCAATTATTTATAACCGCTTTATCTTTGTTTAATTAACAAAATTGCAAAGCGGTACTTTTTTTGGTGAACTTTCAATTTCTTGTTGATACTACTTAATTCTGATGCTTTCCAAGACTGTGCTTTCTGCAAAAAAGTGCCGAATTATTCTTTGTCACGTTGTTTTGTGAAGCATGATATTTCGCAGAAAAATTTTCTGATTCAGTAGCAACAGATTACAAAATTGCTTTTTTTTGCAGAGTGGCATCAAAATGATGCATCCAGAAGGGAGTAAAATTTTCTCCCAACTTCTTTGCTTGCTTCTATCGTTGCTGGATGATTGTTGGCCAGAAGTTGTTCGACATCATACGCTTGCTGCACTTGCTGTTTTTGTTGGATTGGTAAGTCACACTTCTTCTAAGACAATAAATCTCGAAATTACGAGGACCGCTTGGAAATTCGGTGTGAGGATCCCACGTCAGTGATGTTACTGGAATGCATCTGTATACAGATTCCGGCCGTAAGATGCTTTTTATGGCCTAAGCTTCATGCCTTCAGTTAGTTACTCACCGCCTGTTCGGTGTATGTATGCCACTTTTTTCGAGATTGCCCGAATATTCGTTTACTTCTTCCTGTGTACTACTTATTGAGGTGAGGCGCCTGCTGATTATAGCATGGCGATTAACACATTTTCCTTAACAGGTCGTTTTTCTCACGCATTTGAAGAAAGTCCCGCTCACCCCTTATCTTACTGAGAGCCTGATTGCTTATATTTTGATGGTTTGATCAGCTATTATTTCATCATCTCACTTCTCGCCACTAA